ACGGAACGAACCAGCTAATCTAACGGCGCACATCCTACTGTTTACTGGGATCCAATCGATCACAGCACCTTCAGTCCGGGGACTCAAAGCAATGCCGACGCCAGCTTGACCGGCATTTGAAGCTGCATCATCGCCAGACAGGCGCAATGAGAATGTGCCGCCAGTGTCGCATGTGCGGATCGCAGGGTAAGCACAGAGCTCGAATCTTGCAGGCGGGTTTCTGATAAACAGCAAATATCGATCGATAGGGTCTCTAGTGTGCGGGCAAGTGCTGCCTGTTGGCCAATCTGTAGCAAAGTGCGCAAGTTGAGGCATGCCAGTCTTAGCGAGACTGGAGGACTCCAAAGGGAAACGGATGAACTGACGTTGTCCGCTTGGTTGAACATGGACTTGTCGACTGGATTGGAGCGAGGCCTTGCGGTTGTGTGTGAGTTGAAACTAGAAGACAAGCGACTATTGAAGCAAGGTGGGGGAGGGCCAAGAATTAGGGGATTGAAACCTGGGGGATAAAAGTAAAGTTGGAGCGGGACGATAAGGATGAAAAAGCGCAAGAAGGGGGATAAGAAGACAGGAAGGCCTGAGCAGTAGCATCCATACCCCTATCTACCCTTCTCGATGCAGCAGATAGGGCGCCGTTGATTATGTTCTGCGACGGCCAGAGCATCAAGAAATTGTTAGAGGAAAGCTTCATTGTATTGTGTGGGCGGAATACTGTCAGGTTGCTCAGGTCTAGACAAGAGAACGATTAGGGTTCTCAAACAAAGCCTTTGGTTCGAAAAACCTTACCGCAAGTCAGCGGGGTTTTGGTACTGGACTACAAAAAGCTCGTTTTATGGAGTAAGAAGCCACCCTTACACCACCCCCAACCTGAAGGGCCAGGAGACTGAGTTTGTCTGACCTCTAACCATTGGCCAATCTGGTCTGAGTGCTTCTGAAGGTGCAGAAATGCACCAATTAGCATAGCTCAATGGATCACTGAGGCACACAAACCATCGCACCACGTTAAGGTCCAGTCTCGTCGCGACGGTATGGACGGGGTAGTGGGTAATAGACAGATAGCCGCGTTGTCAACATGCACACCGACCGTAGCCACACCGGGGATATCAAGCAACAGCCAATCACTTGAAAGGACGATGTAAAAAAATAAATCAACTAATGCATACAGCTACGGTGACATAACTCTTCAATAAATGAGCATACATTTCATATGCACGTTTATTAAAAAGTCGTATGTCACCGTATCTGTATACATTTTTTGATTTATTTTATTTGATATCGTCGTTTCAAGTGATTGGCTGTTGCTTGATATCCCGGTGTGGCTGCACTTGATGTGCACTTTGACAACGTGCCTAGCTGTCTATTACCCACTACCTCGTCCATACTAGCTCCGGGAGACAGTTGGTCGTTGCTGGAGGGGACGGGGTGCACGGTCCTTGTGGCCGTGCTAGGCTCGAAGTGTGGTTCCATGCACTCAGTGTGGAGCGGACTACGGTCCAGCCACTGCCTTGTTTGCAATTGATTCCCAACTACAGCGTGCTTATGTTTGCCTGTGAAGGAATGTGGGCCTGCTCCCTTGATGAAACGTGGCTCCCATCTACATGTCTCCCGGTCTTATTCCTTCGGGTTTACACTGGATATGGGATGTGCGGATAGAGCTGTGGGTGGTGCAGCGCAAGCCACCCATGGTCCCTCTGTGGGCGAGGGCGTTCTGTGGCTAGCGACAGTGACAGACAAATCCGAAACCGGATGCCGCCAACCATGTATTGCGGTTGATGAGGATGATGATGTCAACTAGTGTATCCAACCAGACATGCTCATCGTCCTTCGGACCCCAGCAAGATAGTCTGCAGACGCCAACTGATGCCAAGTTCGAAATGATGGGCTTCATTACTTTTGACTAAGTCATCGCTTGGCCTCCTCTCCTTTTGTTCCATTTCACACCCGGTCCCGCAAACAATGCACGTCGCGAGAGTCGGTGTGCTGGCGTGCGCAATGTGTGGCCCAGCCATCGGAGCTTGGTGCGTGAAATAACGGTGCTGAGCGGCTCGCTCGCCTTTTTTGCACCAAATACACGACGCCGAACACGCTCATTGCTCACGCGGTGCTCCCACTAGATTTGGGCTAACCTGCGAAGGCAGCGTTGATCGAACCTCGTCCTTATGTCTGTTGACTTTACTGTCCAGGTTTTGCAGCCGTGCAGTAGGGTTGGATATACAGCTGCCTTATAAACTCTGGCCCTTCAGAGCGAGAGTGATGCAGCGCCGGCGCCACAGGTGGTGGAGATTGGCAATAGAGCCTCAAGCTTTTGTGACGGGGTTTGTGATCTCATCTTCCATTGGCGCTGATGTAGCTGCTGATATATTTGAATTTCCCGGTGACTTCTAGCTATTCACCATCAAGGGCAAGCGCAAGGTTAGAGAAGGACTTTGCATTTCCATGGTGTAAAGCCTAACCCGAAACGACTGACAACCGATGCTAATTTGTCCAATGCTATTTGGGACGTTTGAAAGCTGTCACGTATAAGGGCAGTGTCGTCGGCGTACTCCAAGTAAACAAATTGATCACCTGGGAGCAACTTCATGCCTATCAGGTCATGTTCAGTGAACGCAGTCTTCATGACTTCATCGATGGTGAATTTAAAAGAATAAGTGACAGGAGGCATCCTTGTTTCACACCGCTGGAAATATTGAAGGCCGGCGACAATTTGCCTTCACACTGCTCTAACTATGTGCGTAAAGCGCTCTGCTAATGTTTGCTTATTTTTCCGCCACACCTATCCTTAGCAGACAGTTTCAAAGGGCACCTCGATCATACGAATGGAATCCACCTTTAATGTCGATGAACACGACAACGGTGGCTCGCCGATAAATATGGCAGTGTTCTAACAATTGACATAAAGTGAAGATGTGATCAATACAAGCGCGACTTTGACGTAACCTGGCTTACTCCTCATAAGTCAAGTCTATGAGGAACGACAGAAGCGAGTACCTTAGGGGCATTCGAGATCAGACTGATCCCTCTATGATTGCCGCATTCAGTACGTGAGCTTCCTGCTGGGACAGTTTCCTGCTCCTACAGCTTCACAAGTAGTGCACATTAGCTACTTGGTCAGGTCCTCCAAATTTGTAGCGGGCTGGAGAAAATTTATCTCATCCTGCGGCCTTATCCACTTTTAATACTCTGATTTCACGTTCGATGGCTCATGTAGAAGGGCGATCAGTGGCCGATGGAGGGGCTGGTAACTTCGGTTGAGTAAGCTGCTTTTCGAATTCCTCGGCCCAATGCCCCATTGACACTGGATTGGCCGCCCACTCTCTTCACGTTTCGTCTCGCTAACACCAGGTCTCCTTTTGCCCATTTCGCGTATCAGACGGAATGACTTCTGATGATTATTAAGGGCAGCGGTTATTTTTATCTCTTACACACGATGAGACCACTAGGCTTTACGATCATTTTTCTGACTAGGACGCAGTTTCGCCCCGTGATCTTTGTGAGCCTCGCAGTATTCAATCCCAGCCGGAACGTCGGCAATCATAGAGACCCAGTGTCCAGGTTGGTTATTTGACTTTCCACATGAAGGCATGCTTGCTGTTAATAAACCTTGGCGAATATACGACCAGTTGCCCTCTACTATGTTCAGAGAGCGCTTACTCAGCCCGAAATCTAGCGTACTTCGATACGCAATCAAAAGAAATGACTTCGCCTGCTGACTTGTTTCTATGCGCTCACGGCGTCGTCGCATGCGACAACCGAAGCAAACTGTAAGATCGGCACAAACGAGTGCGTGGCCAACATCCACGCTCGTGTTCTAAATCGAGCGCATTCTGGTCACAGCCTCTCCAGAGGTAGCTGTTCACGATGTGATCGATTTGCGTCCATGCTTGGTCTGAGTCTGGTGGGCGCCATGTCACCCTCCGGCGGGTGTGTCGGAAGTTAGTGCTCGCGAGAAATAGACGACCATCTTCATACACCGCTCATCGTTATCATCACAGGAGCCTACACCATATCCGCCCAGATGCAGCACATCAATCGACACTTTTCCACTTCGAAGGTCACCCGGTCCCTTATGTAGGTTCGATTCAGTGACCTCCGGGTTGCGAGGCAGATGCCTTGTCCTTTCGGCCACGGACTGGAATAGATTGTCTCAAAATGCTTTAGGCAAGACTAAAGTATTCTACTGAATCCATCAGCCTACCTGATCGTCATTCAGTTTGTTTGTACGTAACACAGCTTGAACCATGTATCATCGGCTGGTCGATAGTACGGGACATGATGTGCCTTATGATACACGAGGATCTGTTTTTCTTCGTCCATTATTCTTGATGGCTTTTTACTTTTTCTACTGTTGATTTTTGGCAAGAAGCCTTATGGTGTCTCACTCGAGTGTTTGCTGAAGCTTAACCGCCTACGTTGGCTTGGCTATGTCATCCGTATACCCGTTGACAGGCTTCCTCGGCGTGCATTATACGCCGTGGCTGCAACAACTTGGGCGAAACCGCTAAGTTGTCAGTCCATGACATGGCATAGGGGTTTGATAAAATTATCTGAGAGACGGGTCAGGCTGGTGCATATCGTCTTCATGAATGTGGGGCCTTGGGATCGTCCACCAATGGCTGGAGACCCTTTCACACATGGCGCAGTCGCGCAGTCAGTGGCTTATCTGCATTCGGTTTATTGCATCTCGTTGTTAGTTCGCGTTCGATTCTGACTAGTCTAACGAACCTCCTTCTTACTTTCATTTTATTTGCATTCAATCCCATTATTTTGCCGTTGTTGTTTATTGTCTTCCTTGGGATGTGACTCATGGCAACTGGATCCACCGCACTTCGTTGCTCGAATTATAGTTGTCCAACTGAACTGAACTGAACTTGCATTCCACCTAATTAGGCTACTTTTGACAGCCAACTAATAAACATTGCATACTGTAATTACATGAACCTAGGGAACATGTTTGCTTTTCCATGTTATCCTTCTGATTTCAAATCATTTTTAGCTCTTCAATGCCTCGTCTGGTGAACCGCTCCTCCAGAGTGAGCGAGTGGGTCTCTCAGGAACTGACTGTGCACTCAGATTGCTCTCCAGTGACGGCGCACCTGCCGTGGGTGGACAGTTATGTGCCTGAGTCGGAGGTAATGTAATTCACGCAGCACACTTTGTCAACCCCAGGCCCATTTAGTGATACATCATTCAAAGTTGCGTGAGCTTACCTGCATATTGAATGACGTTTTTACCCGTAGAATTGATCCAACTGAAAGATCTGGTGGGCCTATTCTGCTGTTAACAGGTCCACCTGGATGCGGAAAGACCACGGCTCTCCGTGTTTTGCTACACTCAGAATCGGTTAAAACAACGCATCCTGTTTCAGTAGTCGAATGGACTGACGAACCTGTGGGAGGCGACGAGTTGAATCATTTGGAACAGTTTGTTTCCCAACTCGGTCGTTACGGACAAGTAAATCTTGAAACTGATGAATGGCACGACTCTTCAGCCACCCCTTGCGCTCTCATCCTCAAGGTGAGCTTGCATCAGTTGATTGCAATTTGTAGCCTAAGTATACGTGACGTACGCTTCTCTGAGTCGCTCTAAAATGAGTCCTTCCTCTAGTGCATTTTTAACTCTTTAGTCATACTTATTTCCCTCTGACTTGTTATCGCGGCTTCATGACCCATCGTGATCAGCCTAATTGTCGCTGGCTACATTTCGTGATGCCTAAGAATGTTCCATTCTTGAGTATGCTGTATTACTTGTCATCTGCTTTCTGGTTGATGTTTGCTGAAACTGGCGTTCTATCTCCCAACCCACCGGAAACCTGGGATTTTTAACATCATCTCCCGTTATCGTGCGACTCCGACATTCTAATGCTGCTGCGTACACTACAATAATTTTTGTCGATCTATGGCTAGTCCCGTTTTGTTTACGAAACAACAACTACCTTTAAGATACATTGCAAGCCCATGATGTTTGCTCCCCTAGCTGATTTCGGCTTCTAATCTACAGGTCGCCGGTTTGATCTTGCTTGCGTGCGGGTAACATCACAATTTCCCGAGCCTGCAGGAAACCGGTTGTCATCCTATAGTAACCAATCTTCGGTGCGACATTCTGTGTACTACTTATGCTCCGCGGTTATTGGGGTAAAATCACGAAAATGCGAATTGCTCTCACAATCTGCGTTTAATTTCCTTAGTATCCCGTTTACAGGTGTTGTGTTTTGTTTTATTTACAACGTTCAGTTAAACTCTTGTTTAACACCCTTTTTATTTTATCGTTTCAAATTTCCATATTACTATCCACCACTTGCCTGTTGCCAAGTGGTACGTCTCTGTTAATTTACATTTCCACTCTGTATCGTGGGTTTTCTTTTGTTACTGGAACCGCATCACACAGCGGTACTCTGGCACAGCGTAGTGTCGTCTCATTACATCCTGCCTAAGCTGTGACCTGTCTTCTCGCCCAGCGAAGCTCATTGTTTTGACACCACAAAATTGAGTTTTAGGTGAAACTGTTGTTTGTTTACCGAAATATTGTAACTTGAGGCATCAGTGCTGATTGTTGCCGAAACCTTGGTAGTGCAAGTGGTCAGCTCAGTATGCTCACAAGTTTTTGGAGCGATGTTTAACGGCGTGTCGTAGAATCGCACCCATGATGCAAACCCGTTGGACGAACACCGGGACTATCAGTAACAACCGAATGCTATTTTTATTTTACTAGGGATGCGATTAAAATGATGTTTCATGGGGATATCAGATCACATGGAGTAAACCGTCCATAGAAAACGGGATATCACGCGGAGCTTTTATTTAAGGTCTTATGAGCAACCGGCCAGGGTACTTGGTTAGCAACGTTTTGCTTTTAAGTTGAAGCATTTCCAGGCCAAGTGAAATGACTTAAGATTTTTTTATTTGTTTATTAACTGTGGACAAAATGCGTAACGCAGTGTCGGTCAGAGGACAATTGTATACCTGATAGATATTCGCCTTACGCACAAAGCGGTAACATCGGTAATGAACAAGAGTAAAACAACGATTGAAAAGTACAACTTAAGATGTTGTAAATGACACAGCATTTACTCGAATTCGGCTATTCCACCTAGAATCTACGAACAACCAAAGATATACCTGTCCGAAGTCCTCTTACGGCCTATAGTGGGTGGCCTTGGCTCTCCTACATATGAATTCGGGAAGTATTTGGCTAATCTTCTGTACCTTCTACTTAGGGGAACGCGTGTATCCGTAATAAATTTTCGCATTTGCACGAATGGTGTAAAGTGTACCCGTCAACCCGGGCGAATTGATGGGCATTAACACTAATGCGAGAGCGCCTAACCTAGGTTATTAATTTAGGTGATAGAACAGAGCTTAAAGTTGATCAGCTGATCGAGGGGATATCGTTGTGCCTCAGCTTGAATTATTTCGCATTTCTGTTATGCTATCTCTAATACCCCCTTAATTAGCAAATATTTGTTTTGAGGACCTTGCGAAGAAGATACAAAGTTTTCGCAGTGCCCCGAGAGTGTGGTGGCGCATGGTGGGCGCCACTATTACTTTTGTAAAAGGGACAGCAAAGAGGGATTCTTTGGATACTTAAACATTGACGGGACGATGAAGTCTACTATGGAAATTGAGTCGCTAGTAGGTACACTCCCGTCCCTTGATTGTCTAGTGCACAGGAACGAAGTAATGTTATAACCGCCAATACATTGCAAACGAGATTCGGGAGTGGCAGTGCACATGAAATGGACATTGAAAATGCCTGGATCAGCAGGATGAGGTTGTGCTCATCATCATCATTATGCATCTTAACTATTGTGCTGCTATTGTGCTGCAATCGAATTCAACCTTATGCTATTAAGAAAGAATGTAGGAGAAACGAAAGCAAAGCAAAACAGTAATATTTTAGTGCTTTTTTCTTACACATTGATCTTGGAGTCGTGGTTGGAGACGGAAGCTAAGCGGAGTTAATCAGGATAAGGAAACACAGTTCAAGCGCGGTTGAGGTTGCTTCTTTGGTATGTCACAAAGTGTATTCAACGCAACGTGTTCGTCGTCTTTCGGACCCCCATCAGGGAGACAGGAGGGCCCAATGGAGACCAACTTCAAAGGAAAGGCCTCCATTCCTCTTAAATAACTCATCCGTTAGCCTTTACTCCGCTTTTCATCAATACACCGACCGTGCAAACGAACCAACTATTCCAAAGAGTACATCGATCTACAGAACCGAAGGCCTTTTATGTTGAGAATCACGATTACCGTGGGTCGTCAGTAAGTAGCGGTGATCCAACAATTACAGAATGAAAATTGATCAGTTTAGCTTCGCCTTTTTACAATAATTTGCTTTCACGGGCGCCAGTCAATTTGTGAAGAATGACAGAGATAGGTAAATTAGGAATGATGTGGATTAGACCGGTACCTCTATGACTGCATTCCGATTGTAACTCCCCTTAAAGATCGGGTCAGTAACAGAGTTGCCATAGTCATTTGTGATACCTTCTTGCCTTCACATTTTCACAAGTAGATCGCGTAAATCTTCAACGAGAACGGGTTCCCTTAAATTTGAAGAGGACTTGCTGGAGTTCATCTAGTACCGGGGCATGGTTCCTTTTCGACAGTTTGATCTCACGCTCGACTTCTGCACGTGAGGGCGGGCCTAAGGCGACTGCCAATGGAGCATATCGATTATTGACTGCGATGAAGCAGATGATTTTGATTGATTAAATTCTTTTATAAAATACTCAGCTCAGCGCTGTCAGCGTCCTGACCAATTGTAGATAGTTTGTCCACTCGTCGCCTAGACTTTCGTTAACACCAGGTTATCTGCTAACCGTTTCCCATGGCAGACGGAATAATTACTGATTGTTGCCCAGGGAAGCGGTCGTTTCCATCTCCGATGCATGTTAGGAAGAGCTTTTCCCTGTGGTCTAGTCTTGTGTTCACTTCCAGCCGGAATGTGTTAGCGAGCATCCAGAAGTTCCTGAGACTGCCGAGTAACTCAATGTATAGCTTCGCATTTAGATATGCTGCTTAGGTTCTGGTACTTATGCGACCAGTGATTTTTAACTATCTTCAGTAAGCATTTATTCAACTCGAGTGGTGGGGTACTGTGATACGCATTCCCAACATCTGGCTTCGCCAATTGGCGATTCTATGTCCAGCGTCGCCGCTGGTGTCTGCCGAAGCGCACCCGGAGATCGGCACACACTAATGCATGGTCAGAGTATATGCTTATGCTCTAAATCAAGGGGCAGTTTTGGACACAACATCTCTAGCTATACCTAATCGCGATGTGATTGATTTGCGTCTATGGCTGGTCCGAGGCTGATGGCGCCATGTCACACTTTTGCGGGTGCTGTGTCTTGGCTAGTGCTAGGGTGAAATAGGCGAGCATCTTCACACAGATGTAGCAACCATGTTTGCCGCTTAGATGTAGCTCATCAATAGACCGATTTCCAACTTGAGCGTTCAGATCTCCAACCAGCACTACAGTATCCACGCTACTTTTTTGAAGAACTAGCTGGTTTATATTTCACTGAGTCAGCACTGCAGTTTATGGGGACGTAGACAACAATAACAGACAGGCACGATTTGTCCCCGCGCTAATTCGAGGCTTTTCACGAACTGACTGGTAGGATGGCACCCATCCGGCTGTTGATTGAGATCCAGTCAACCAGAAAAGCTTCAGCCCAGGAGCTTAGAGCAACACTGACACTGGCTTGACTTGCATTCGAGGCTGCATCATCTCCGGATGGACTCAAAGAGAAAGTGACGCCAGTATCACCGGAAGAGTATCGTAGACTGAACAGGATGTTCGGGTCTTGCAGCCAGGTTTCTGACAACCAGCAGGTACCAGTCAATTGGGTCTCGGATATTTGGACAAGTGCCGCCTGTTGACGGATTTTTACCATATTGCGTATTTCGGGTCATGTCACTCTTAGCGAGGATTGAGAGCTCCAAATAGAAGTGGACGAACTGTGGTTGTACCTAGACTTGACAATGGGAGAGGACTGACGTTCTGCGATTGCCCTTTAATAGAAACTAGAAGACACTCTTAACAACACAAGTTATGTGAAAGCCATGAATTGGGGAATTTAAAGGATGGGCATACATGAAGTTGCAGCGGGACAATAATGGTGAAAAGGCGTGTTGGGGAAATAAGAAGACGGAAAGCCTGGCGAGTAGCATCCTCAGTCATTTTCACCGCATTTTGTGCAGCTGATAGGTCACTGTTGATTATTCTGTACGACTGCCCGAGTTTTAGACCACTTGAGGGCGGGTTCGTTGTCTTTCATTGAGTGGGTACTTTCAGGTAGCTCGGGAACCTTTAGGGTCCTCAGTCATCCTTTGGTTCAAAGATCTGACCGCAAAGCAGCGAGAGTTTGGCAGTGGCTATCAGCAATCTTTTTGTAGAGTTAAGGAACCATACTCACTTCGCCGCTTACTTGGAGGATCAGGAGACTGACTTTGTCTTTCCGCTAATCATTGACAGATCTGTTATGAGTGGCGCTGAAGGTGCACAGCTCGATAGGTCGTTGAGGCACGCGAACCATCGCACAGCGATGAGGCTCAGCTTAGTTGCGACGGGGTTTGCGAGCAACAACAGTCTAACTTCTGAAGCGGCGAATATTACTATGGCTAAAATTATGTGAATAGAACAAATGTTATGGGACAGTCTGGGTTGATATTGCATCACATGATGCTTCTTCACCTCAGTTGGGCTAAACCGACTTACACTTAAACCAGATCTTTTTACTCTGGATAAAAGTTATTCCACTTTATTTGATTTGTTCAGTTCTGTACTTTTGCTGCATCTTCTGTGTTAATTTTACTTGTTTGATTTCCCTCAAATTCTATATTGGTTGTTTGATATCCCCGGTGTGGCTGCGCTTGATGTGCATGTTGACAAGGTGCCTACCTGTCTAACACCCTCCACCTCGATTGCCGGCTCCAGGAGACTGAATCGTAGCTGGGCGGTGGAGGGGAGAGGACGGCGCGCACGGTCCTCGTGGCCGTTCCAGGCTCAAATAGGGGTTCCATGCAGCCTGTGTTGAGCGGACTATAGCCCAACCACCGCCTTGTGTACCTCTGGTACGCATGGTTTCTCGGTTTGGCATGACTGCTTCTAGTCATCTTGTTGAGGGAGTGTGGGCCGGCTCCGTTGATGAGACGTGACTTTCATCCACATGCCTCCCGGTCTTATTCCTTCGGGTTTACACTGGATAAGGGGTGTATGGTCGGAACTGTGGGTGGTGCAGCGCAAGCCACCCATGCTCCCTCTGTAGACTGTCCTTAGAAGGCCGCAGTGACAGGCTAATCCGGAACCGGATGCCGCCAACCATGGGACAGTCGGGAGTCAGTTGGATAATGAGCGTCCACGGATGGATCCGGACTTATTGACTATCAACACCACCCTATCACCAATATCTTAGATATCATGACAATTTATCATCGACCATTAGACCGATCCTGTTTCAACGGATCAGCCCGCCACAAACTTGTAATCGTCCTTTGACTGACATATTTTTGTCTGTTCCGCATTCTACTACGGTTGCCGAAAATGTTGGTCATTTTCAATCCATCCACTTTCCTAGTGAGGCTTTGTATCACAAAGGCAAAGCCACCCACCAAGTACAGTTATCTACAGATCTAAAATGATGACACCCCTAGCAATTTTAAGGTATCCCAAAACATCGAGTGGAACTATCATTTGTTGTTGACCTCGATCCTTAACCCTTTCTACTTCTTAGCTAAACAGGGACTAAGCACTACTGAGCGCAAGTAGCGTGAACACCTTTATCGATTATTCTCTACATCATCGGACGTTCTTGTACGGTATCGTTGAATCAGTTGTTTAATGGAAGCGACGCCAGTCGTATTCGTTTTTTTTCGTCCAAACGAAGAGATAAGTGCTGTCAGAGATGGATGTTTTGATGTAGTTGATTATCTGTGACGCGTAGCCGTATGCTTGGTAATGCATCGCTGGCGTTGCAGTCTCTTATACACCGTTTAAATATTCTCACGTTTGTCTCTTGTGTTCGCACGCTTTCACTACCTGGCGGACCAAGTAATAACATGCACTGAGTTGTTCGTTCTTACCCAGCGCTGCTACTGTTGATTAGTCCTGGTGCTTACCCATTTAACTCCAGTGGATCTACTCTTCGGTTGCCACTCTTATTTTCTTACCGCTATTTATTTTAGTTTTCATCTTTAGATTGCATAAAAATTGCGATCAGAGGTCAGCATTCCGCTTAGAGGAGCGCGGCCACCAGCCCTTCAAAAAGCATTAGGAGAGAACCGAAAACCCACCACCTGAAATAGAGACTTAGCATGCAACCATGCGGTTAGTAAATCGAATTCAGCTTGTTTACAAACGCTGCGCCGGTGCTGCCTACGTTCACTGCGGGACCCGTCGTCGCTTCGGCAGTGGTCCCGAGTGACCTCTCTCATGGCTCACTAGGCCTGCCTGACTAAGGCACTCGCGACTGCATGTTCTACAGCACCATGCACTCGATGTCGATGGAGTACAATTCATCGGTGCTTGCCGCTTCCGCAAGTGCCGCTTCTTTTCTGCATGCATGAGGGCTTTCTTCCGCACTTCAGAAACTGCCTTCGTGATTAGATCGCGCCATGCACGCCGATCAACCGCCTTCGATTCCCATGATCTGCAATCAAGATTAGGACGTGTGAGGCTCACTTTAATCATTATATATATATATATATATATATATATATATATATATATATATATATATGGAATTACGTTGCTAAACGTTGGTACACAACGAACATTTAGTCCATGTGGGACGAAATGGAACTCGGTTAAAACAAGTAGAGCGCTATACAGGTGTGTATCCATCTAACCCAGCATGTGTACAAGTTTCGTACAAACGAGATAACGAAAAGTCACATAACCACTGCAAATGGAGCAGTTCCGTTGTTGGTGGAATTCACAGAAGTAACTAATAGTCGAAATTGCCTATTCCAGTGACGAATTCGTATCCGCCGGTTTTCTCCATTTCCCCAGCATGTTTCCTATTTTTCCTCCGTAGTGTTAGTAATTAACTGGAGTCCCGTTATCTTCCATTTTGGCGCTTCTTTTCAAAGCATATTCTGGACCAGTGTCAAATGGACGGCGACAATTTTGTCTCCTGGCTACACGAGAACTACCTTGATTTCACTCCACATATGACCGCTACTCAGTGGGTTGCCGACCGTTTCAGTTGGACTGATGCTTTTTTGTCCGGTGGTATGAACTGGCGTCTTGGGCTGACTGCCGCGGCGGACTGCAACCATATGCAATCTGCCAGTTACCGAGGCACCGCATCTACCGGCCGTCACTATCCAACTGTGGTGATGTCTCGTACTCTAGTGCTCTCATACAACATGGTCGAAGAGTCCGCGGACGGTGGTGAACATGCGGACACTCATCTCCGAAAAGGTTTCCATCAGTTCAGGTCACCATGGGCTACCGGAGCTTGGAGAAAGGCGATGGAACACTTCAACACAGTGTTTGATCTGTTGTGCAGAAGCCAGCTGTCTTCGCTTCAGGTCACTTCCGTGTGCATGACTGGCCGCAAGCATTTGCTTATGGATTGGTTACCTTTGGCCTTGGAGGTTCCGAATTTGAAGAATTGCATTCCTTGCGGTAAGTGTTTCTGACCTCTTTGTCATCTAGTTGGCCGATTGATTGTGTTATTCAGTTAGCGCATATTTCGGTATTACAAGTTACAACCCCGTGAACTGTGGGCCTAATCATGATACACCTTTGTGGTAGCTGTTTAACGTTTGAGCTAGAAAAATACAAGCGTGCATTATTAAGATGAATACGGAGTTGATTTAGTTGTTCGCTACAGCCAGGTGCTACTTGGTTTTTATGCGGGTTTTACCAACTGTACATTTGAAGTAGCTCCCCGAAATAGAACCTGAGTCTCATCGAGTTTATCAAGTTCTTCATTTCTTTGAATAACTCCATTCTCACTGCTTTTCAATGCAGTACTATGGATATCACAGCTTCTGGCACCTAAGTTATGCTCATTTTCTTTGGAGTTGTGTGTTTTTAAATCGCCTCCCCGTTTCTTAGTTATTTTTTACTTTTTCATTTTAACAATTATACCTTTCCCCCGTCGCATTGAGCGACGTTTTTATATTGGACGAGCACGTGTCCGATCTAAAGAGCGAAGGTGTGTTGGCAGTCATTGCTGGTGTATAAACATCCTCCCCTTCGTGCCCCATTGCATTTGATAGCGCATCATCAAGCCGAGGGTCCAAGGTTAGTTTAATGACAGTGCGACGTTTTGTTGCAATGGATTCCAAACAGAGAAATTATAAACTTCTCTATACAAGGGTCAATCAAACTGGAAGTTCCGTGTTTCGGGATGCCACCAATCTCTTATTGAAGCCAATCCTGTTACATTCCGCAGGTCTAACTGGGTCAGCACCACCAATGCAGATAGCGTGCATCCAAGTGGTACGCCGTTGTGTATCTTCATACAGTACCATAAGGGTCTTTCTAACTGCTTCTGCCATTTGGCTCGTCTCCGTCATAGACGACCCTCCACTTACTTTTCCTCTCAGTTTTCATGGCGAACTTGCTCATCCTGATACTGGTCGAAAATTCTCGAATTTTACTTTAGGCCGCAGTTCACAGCAGGTAGATTCTGGGGCTTCAGTCAACTGTGTTATAGAAGCAAATGTAACTATTTCAGGTTGTTGATTTGTTACACCAACTCTACTCATTGGGGTGTTTAGGTAGGAATGAACTTGACTATCAAAAACGATTCCGAGGACTGCTGGAAGAATTAGCACACCTCGTCGTATTGTCCAATAATGATTGCTCACCTCTTCCTGGTTGATTCCTCAAGCCAAATGACGGCAATTTGCCTGTGAAAAACGCTTCTTTCTGTTTTCTGTAGCTTACATTTGAGGTGCAATGCACAGCCCAGCAATCAATACCCAGAAGCTTACGCCCACTAGGATAAGCTTCTGCTTGGAGCACTAGTGTGTTGCTTGGGAGATTATCCATGTCTTGTCCATCAACGCACACACATTTGTCTTCGGAATCTAGCGGACTCAAAACATACGCATTTCTTTTGTTATTCTTTATCAACAACCTAATTTTTATTGCTCTATAATTGTGTGGCACAAAGCACCAGCAAAACCTATTGATGTACTTCCCTTCGGGGCAGTGTAAGGTAGTTCACATTCGCCACCAGCTGAACATCACATACTAGCTCGGAGACAATGTTATGCAAGCATTCACCCAGAAGCACGACGTTGGGGTACTAATCCAGGCTCAGCACAATCTGAGAAGATGTCAAAGACCGGGAACCAACACATTGACATGCTGCGGAGGGCATTCGGGCGTTTTGATCCCTCTGTCTGTTTGCAGTTACTTAAAACCTACGTGCGACCCCGTGGAATACGCAATCCAGGCTTGGCAGCCATGGCACAAGCAAGACCTTGCAGCGCTCGGGACTTCACAGCGACGAGCCACGAAGCACGTCAAAGGGTTGTTCAATCTTTCTTATCATCTTAGACTGAGGACCCTAAAATTATACAGCGGGTGCTGTCGGCGCCTACATGGTGACCTTATTATGACCTACCAGATCCTAAGGAACCTCCAACCACGTCTGTCACCACCTACTACAACTGAGCCACAGCACGAATTGGTGGGTTCACTAGTTCAAGTTAGCCACACAATACAGTCGACTAGAATGTCGACGAAACTTTTACTCTCTTCATGTATGCCAGACATGGAACGCCCTTCCAAATTATGTTGTTTCTGCCCCCACTTTACCTGTGTATAAAAAACGTCTTGACGTTGCCCTAACCTACCTACATTACGAGATATAGCCTGTGTCTCGACAAACGATATAATGCGACGAAACTTGCACAACCAGAATTAACCTACACGACTGAGCTTGGCCCTTTCTGCATGCCGCTGTGTTAACACTGTGGTGACTACACAAAAATGATTTTCATTTTACCACTGTTTTCTTTTCACCATGTTGTAGTTCTCATTCTAGCCATCCTACAGGTCTTGCTAAGCATCCGCTTTTTTACCATTAATATACCATTGTTCCATTGTCCCATAGCTGTGTAGGATGGTAACACTGACTCAGACGACTCCCAAAAGGTTGAAGAGACTGTCAACAAATCACCGATTTCATGATGGCTCTCTGATTGGGCTTATCTGTGAAGAAACTACTGAGCATGTACTAGCGTATTTTTGATTCACACAAACGATGCTTAGAAGGCGGGATTTGTTTATTATTTTAACTACAAACAAACACATTGCACCTACCTTTACAGAGATACCGCAGATGGGTTCCGATGAAATACTCATTCACGCACTCACAAACATTCCACATCTGTCGTTAGCCCAGCGGAACAATATCAGGAAGCATGTAAATAGGAGTTACAATTACTTTGGAACCGAACCACACTCCTACAGTACGCATCAGCACCCATGGGCAAGTGAACCTGCGCGACGGCAACCCACCTTTAAGACACCGCTCTTCGCTTTCAACCTCAGTTTGCATTAATACCTTATACAGGTATGTGCAAGCAATTGGTTCAGTGTGATGGATGAACGTTCTTCGATCATTAATGTTACTCAGGAGAAAAATACACCGTCGAACTAGCTGTAGTTCGTATCATAATGGAATCAGTTTATGACGAAAGGGCTCTCACACAGCCCATGCACGGTATATCTCAGTGAAGGTAATCGAACGCCGGGGCCGATGAGCAAGGTATCGGCATCCCATTTAGACTGCTTTTTAGCGTTTGTATCGTTCACACCCACTTTGGACATATTGTGCTTGTGTAGACTTAATATGTATGATAATCCGTATTTGGTTATGCCGAATGTGCAAACGAAGTACAATTTATACCAGGTAGGCCATGAAGCTGCTGCAGATTGCTGCCCCTTATATCTCTGTGTCATGATGATTGGCTTTCATTCGAAAGGAATTTTCCGCTCCCTTAAGACATGGATTTCTCCGGAATTTCGTGGTAACTGCGATTCATTAGTTTCATGATGAATTCTTTATACGCATCGTAGCGAACACATTGCTGTGAAGTTATAAATAACATCTTTTCCGCCTTACGTTTTCCACCGTACTCGTGTGCCGAGCAAGCATAGGAACGTTCGTATACTGTCTCACTCTGATCAGATATTTGGCCATTATCAATTCTACGTATCAATTCTACGTACCGCGTTCGAGGATTTTCGGCGACCCATTATACTTCTGCGGCCGAATGCGTCCGCTTAATCCTCCATATGCATTGAGAACAGCCAGTTTCAGCCACCTCATCTAAATACAGTTAGGTGCTTGATGAGGATTTTCACCAACCTGGGTGGTCTATCGCTACCGCGTTTGAAATTATTTCATGGTGTCTTCGCTCTTCTCTCACAGGTTCCCTCACTACTCTAACCAACAGCTGTCGACTTAGTACCCCGTCACATTCCCATTCTCGTCCTAAAGTCGTTTCGAGTGGTCATATCACAGGACGACCCCGGCCGAATGGCTTCTCCAAGGTCGATTGCGAAGACGATGGGTGGATCTGCCCCATGGAGGCCTTATTGGAAGGAGCGGAGCTTCCTATTGAGGAAGATCTATCCGATGATCAATTTGCACGCGGTCGATAGCAGTAACTGTTTGCGCCAACCTCGTCTATGTGCAAAACCCTCGTACTCTACTGGGAATGCACTGCATTTACTATGGTTTTCTTCAAAGCAGTGGACTTATCAGATCTCGTTCCATTTCATACCTCCTTGTAAACATATTTTGTATCACGTTTATTTCGTTTTCTACATTTTGGATACTCTGTGGTTCCATTAATGGAAGACGCCGGAAATTCACCTCTTGCACACACTTTTACTTTGTACTCCTTCCGGTTAAATTGCTTCGTATCACAGGTTTTATGCGCTTGTGTTCATAGCGCTCGGGATAGCCCACGTAAATCAGCTAACGCAGTCATTGTTGGCTTTAGAAGATTACTTATTGTATAACACTTGTAAAGTCTCTTCACTTCTTTCTCTTATCGCATCGTATGTTGCCACGCGATACTATCGAATATACGGCACACAGTGTTTGATCTACATGATAATGTGTTCCGCATTCGATTTCCAGGCGACGAGCGGTGTGTCTCAACCAGCATGATTATAACCATGGGTAGGTGGTTTTCGACTTAAATAATTGTGGGCTTCGTCATAGCAACTTCAACTCAGTTAGTCCTCCACATGTTGAGACTAGTCTGTAGTTGCCAGTTTATTGTGGGTACACCAAACGGTCACTAAAATGATGTCCTAATAAAACACTGTTTACTCGGTTTCGTTTGCTCCGGTCACTGTCTACATCACTAACTCCATCTGCGCATTTTCCGCTAAGCATCTACTTTACTTCAATAGTTAATCGCTGTTCGTTCTTGGTTTGTTGTTGGGCCTTGGGGTACCAACCGCGGATCTGGATTGAGGCAATCTCGATTAAGGCCACTGGTAAACTGGTTTCGTCCTGATTTGCACCCTTCAGATAGTAATGACCTAAGCGGAACCCGGCTTACGCCTTGATCACAGAGTCAGAACTCCGTGAGCAGTGCTTGACACAGTGATTAGAAGTTCATTGTTGAGCCTTGTAGTACCCGCGCTGTGTCGGATTGTGATACGTAATCTCGATTAAGGCCACGGTTTCCTTTGAAGCATGCCTCTACCATCTTCATCACTGGGACCGCATCCGAAGTCGAGAGCTGGTTTGTTTTGGTGCTGCACTGACCGTTTATTTCCTTAAACTTATGGGTACTAATTTTTAGACTAACTTAATCATCCTATATGCATAAGGAAGATCCTTATAGGAGCACAACTTGTTAGCTCGCTTCTTTCTCTTTTTTGTTTGTTCATCAGCTCTTCAGGGTAACAACAATTACAATTTGTATTTCTCTTGCTCATCTTCGACAACAACACATATTAATGCTTTATACTGGTGCTTGTTTACCACACAACTAATGGCTGAGAGAGAATTGCTCTACTGGGAAATGGAGATGATAAGCAAGTGACTTCAAGTCCTGAATCTAAATGCCCAAAGCCAACATTCTAGCTCAATGCGACAACCCCTTCCAACCCTGCCCCGCTAAAAGCAGTTGACCAATGTGTATAGATAGGTCGGCATTATCAGGATAACTTCCTTGGCGCCTTCGCTGTCCCTCGTTCTAATCACCCTTTTTCCACGGGCAAGTCAGCCCTACATACACTTTGAACATGAATTTCGGTCCTTAGACAGCACCAAACACTCAGTTGTTGACTGTTTCACTCTTGCAACGCCTCGAGTCAGGTACAAGATGGGTCGCGTGAGGCCACAACGCTGGAGGTAAGATGAATGTACGACCTTCACTATTGGGGTCTGGGACTTGGTTTCCCCTTACCACATTGCCCCTCTGTCCTCACGCCATTCTGAATCCGGCAAGCAAATTTAGTTCTCCAGGTGCCACTCGACACTAACAATACTCTTTCTAAGGATAACAACATCCTAACGACAGTTCCAGCCTTTACAATTTCCATCGTCACACTCGGGTTTGCTATTGTGGCTATCTTGCTAAGTGCTGCGATGCTAAGTGACCATCTTATAGTGCATTACTAGTGAGTAGTATGTGTGGAAATGCGGAGGAGCGAGGAAATCAGAGGACGCGTGGTGCACAAGTCTGCCTCCACTGATACGTGATAAGGGAAGAGGCGTAGTGGAACGGTGAGTTAGAAAGGTACCACGAGGGCAGTGCGCAAATGAACCCGAGTTTCTATATTCTTTCTGTTTTAGTATCTAGACGTGGGTTCATTAATGCATAACTCGTCTGCACCACGTTGCGTTCTCAACGTTTGGTGCCGTGTCCAGCTAGAGGTTGAACATGAAGATCATTTGGTCGGAGCCATTTGAGGATGGGGACGTAAGAAGCTTCCTGTGGTATTTCGGAGATGTCGCGGAGGTAGTCAGGGTAAAGCAAAAAGAAGTGGAACTGGTTGCCTTGCAGATTCTCGTCAAAATTCGAGCGAACGCGATCCTGGAGGCGGCTTGAAGGAATGGATCGCCGCGAAGGAAGCGCTTATTTTGGGGTTGGACAGCACGGTCGACCGCCCAGATGCGATGCGGCGATTCAAAGCGGCCAGGCTTGTAGTAGGATCGGACCCGTTGCTCTTAACTGTCAACCTCAGTTACTTGCTGGACCGAGCGTTGCACAATTTGGACGACGTGTCAAGACATCAACTGTTATTGTAACAATTTCTGGACGGTCTACCTCCGATCGGCTCCGGGCATGGCGGAGCTCGCCCATGGAATGAGAGTTTACGCCACGCGTCCTTCGTCTTGTCGATTTGTGCACCACGCTTCCTTCGTCTGCGGCAATCTACGATCTCTCAGATTTCCTTGCGCCTCCTCGTTTCCACACGTGCTACACTAATAGTGCACCACAAACATCATCACGTCAGCCAAGTATGCTAAACCACCTCAGCTAATGTGCCGCAATACAAACAAACTAAGGAAATAACATAATGCTAAAATCACATTATGCACTAAGATCGTTGTTGGAGAGGGAAGCTATAGGAGAGGGGAAGGACAAAGGGACTCCCAACATAAACGCCGTCGAGGTCGGATTCTTGCTGTGTCAACTATTGTATCCAAGCTAACGTGTTCGTCATCCTTCGGACCCCAGCCCGACAGTCGGGAAACACTAACCGACGACATATTCGAAGCGAGGAACTTCATTCCTCTTGACGAAGCCATCGCTTGGCCTTTTCCATCCACACCCAGGGCGCGCAGCAACAGATGACGCAGGAGCCGATGTGATGGCATGTGCAACATGCGGCTCAGACATCGGAGTGTGGTGCATGATATAATGGTGCTGAGCGGTTCACTTTCTCTACCTGCAACAAATACGAGGCGCCGAACACGCTCATTGCTCACGCGATGCTCCCAGCAGACATGAACTAAGTTACGAAGATCGCGACGGTCGAATGTAATTAGCCTCTTTATGTAGGCTGAACGCACTGATCAGGGAGACGAACTGGGCAGCTACTCAGAAAAAAACATCGGACACATTTATTCAAACACCACGCTATAAACTAATTCGCAAAAGGTATACGACAGGTAGAAGTGGGAACTACGTTCGGTAAGACCTCGGTCAAGAAATTGACAGATCCCCAACTATGCTCAGTCTATGGTTTTGTTTGGATAAAGACATCGTCTAACAATCTAGACTTCCTGGTGGGCTGTCTATAATCCATTACCTTGTAATAATATCGCACTGGCTGATTTTTGAGAAGGCCTTCCAGTTTGAAGCAACACATTACTCCACAGGGAAAATTGTTTCCGGAGGCTTCAATATGTCGTGGACATCACTCTCCAGTTCTCAAAAATACGCGATATGACAGGTTTGACACAACTTACCTCTGCTACATGTATGAACGATAGTCTGGATCTAATATTTACTCAGTCTCTGGCGCGATGAAGTATTCTTTCTGGGTAAATTTCCGGGCAGCGATCATAACATTGTAAAATGATGTATAGCCTCTTGTTGGAGCCATCGAACATCCATAATACTATATCCTTTCCTACAATGTGTTGACTGGTCTCATTTTTCCAAGCTGCCCCGATCCCTCAGTTGGAATAGTTTTTTTGACCAAAAATGTTGAAGGTTCTGAGTCAGCGCTCTTAACGCGTTTTTAAACATGTATAGACATACTGGCGACTTTCAAACGGATGGGAACCCCAGAGAGCAGTACAACCAGCAAACTATCACCAAGAGTATGTCGCAAGCTTAGATCTAAGTATGACTAGTGACTTATCCATTATTTTGTGTATTAACAGCTTTTGCCATAAAGTCATCACAGAAAACAGTTTGCGACATATAGTCGAAGAGCGGCTTGCAGTTTCCAATTGCTGCGAGATACCCCTCACTCACACACCTCCTACAGTCAAGAAACCCTAGGCACACCGGCTGAATCCTCATATCACGGAGCCGGTCTGTATATGTGAAGCGTTCACATCTTCCTAGCGAGCCTGAGCTTGCTAATGTCAATCAGACGAATGGCATAGACTGCGTACTTTCAGGGGTAACTGTAATACTCCCAGAGGTTAAATCCTCCCTAAAATCAGTTCAACCCTCTGCCTATGCGGGGCCGCATTACATTACTCCAATAGTACTCAAGTATGGTGACGAAGACATACCCTTTTGCTTCTTAATATGTTCAGTCTTCCTGCCCCAGTGGAAACATTCTCTCATTACTCCGCGACACAAAAGCGATGCAAGGGAGGAAGTGGCCATCGCCACATTAATCACACTTGTATCATACCTAGATTATTTGAAAAAATAAACAAATAGTCGCTAGCCGAGTATCTTCGGGAACACGGATCCTAAGTGACCGACAGCACGGATGTACTAAGAGACGCTCATGTAATACCCTCCAGTTGGATTTTCTTGAGTACCTCACCTCGGCTGTAGATGCCAAAAAGTCAGTACTGGTGATCTTCCTTGATAAGCACAAGGCCTTCGACTGTGTACCACATAAGTGACTTTTGTTGAAACTTAATTCATTCGACCTGACCTGATTTATCTCCTTGGAGGAGTGCATACCGGTTAATCTACGGTCATAACCACGTGCAATAACGGGTGAAGTTTTGCAAGGCAGTGTCCTTGTTCCCACTCTGTTCCTCATCTAAACCAACGATTTTTTCGGTAAAGTCAAATATGGACAATCATTTCTTTCCGCGGACGATATGAAGATTGTCTATACGTTTACATCTGAACATATACAGCTTCGCATGAACCTGCATGCCCTTTACCTTTGGTCACATGGATGGTTAACTAAATTCTCCAATCATACATCACGTGTTCTCTGCCACAGTTGTATCCATAAATTAATTAGCGACTTTCGTTTGGTGAATTTGTCACCTGGTAAAGCGGCTACCCCGTCCTCTGCACGGCAGTAACGTGCAATTCAGTCAGTAGTGAGCAGCGCTATATCACATCTAGTAACAGTCATTGCCGTCCTCCGTAGCGCGGTGGTCCCACTCGCAGGCTAGCAACAGTCGAATCGCGGGTTCGAGCCCTACGATTGTC